TAATTAATACATCAGTTATATTAACAAGTGGAGTATCAGGATAAGGAGTAACATCATCCAAACGATCATGCCATGTTTGAGCCCACATATTACCTATAAAGGTTTTAGCATTGAATTAAAATATATGAATAATCAAAACGAAAATATGAATTTACCGAGAATATGAGCTGGAATAGGTCCATCACAATCAAAACGATTTGGATACTTCGAGCAAAGGCGTCCTCGAACATATGCATGTAGTTGTTCATAGAGTGGCATGATATCTTTTAGAATTTGATCGATAGTATCTTCGAATTCGGTAACATTACCCATTTCATAGTCTTCAATCCAATGTTCCTAACAAAAGAATAAAATAAAAGAATGTATTAATCATCATTATAAGAAAAATTTTTATAAAATGCAAACTAAGAGAAGTGTTGATCTTTAGAGATAAAAATTTAGACTCTTGTCCCACAGACCGTGTTCGATGCTTCTTGATAAACAATCAAAGGTCTTATATCAATAACATCTCATTGTAATAGATGAATTACTTCCCTTAAGGATTAAGTAAAAAAAAATGGTAGAGAAATGTATCACAGAGTAGTTAGAATAGAACAATCTATTTATGATTTTGCTACAGTTGCTACTTAGTGTTTTGCATTTGTTCAAATTATCCTGTTCTCTGATAGACGAACAGGCCGCCTGACCAGCAAGTACTTACAGAGCCAGGGGTAACTGCAGGTGTTAAGTCATTTCTAGCGATATTTGAACTTCGTTTAGGAATGAGATAATTCCATAGTATAGGCGAATAAAATACTTGCTTCTTTAGCTGTAAACAAGGATTGAGCTCCTCCTGCCACCTACAATGTGCTTCCGGCATCACCAATAAAAGCCGGGTCAAATGTATTAGCTTCTGTGTAAGATAATATTATTTTCCCTAACATTACTCGAGACATAAGAGGATTCCACAGACTCATGGTTCTTTTGAGATATGGATTGTTTTTACACATACAGTCAGTTATCCTCGCACAGAACAAATTCCCTTAAATCACATTTATCACAGCGACTTCACTTTCATGCACTACTGTGCATGTAAGTTAGGTCAATGAGTGCAAGACATTACTGACATCAATTTATTCTCGCTTATATTCTTTTGCCTCCGCATTGTATGTTTTTTATCTTATCTTGTTTTTCTATCATAATTACATTTTTGCCAATTATGTTAAGCAGTGCTGATAATATTCAGAAACATGTCAATTAATCTAGAGT